TTTTTTGTCTTTCAGAGAGTATTTGTTTTCCTGAGTGCATTGTACTGAGTATCTTGCAGCAATGTACAGTGGTTAAAAGATAACTGATTCCTAAAACAGTAGGCAGTTTGTAAGGACATGGTCACAAAAGGAAGTCATGGTGTCTACACTGACACTCCTTCAGCTAAGAGCCTCTGAACACTTCTGTAGCCAGTGGAGAAACACGGACACTTGGCACTCTCTAAAAGTGTCTACTCCTAGACCACCCTCGAGAGAAAAATCACAAGGTAACCAACTTGATTGCTCTTTCTCAAACTCATACCAAGAAATAAAGGGTTTCAACCAGTGTGAGCATGATAGCAAACTTATGCAGAAGTCACACTTTGTCCCCTCTTCCTCCTCTGTTTGCCTCCTTGCATCCTAAATCACGGTATCTTTAAGAAAGAACCTGTACCTTATTCTTTGTACAGGGCATAATAAAATGCAATCTTAACTCCCATTTGAGACTCCTAGGCTCTAATATCACAGATTCATGCAATCAATACTTTTCCGTTTTCTGCAATAGAGGTAAATTTTAGCTATTACTTACAGCAGGTCTGTTTCCAAAGGCAGCGTAAAAGGGTTCAGTGTTAGGATAAAACAAATTTTTGATGTCTGTCAAACACTGAACTTTAAATTTTTCTGGCTTCTTTTCTATCACTTCTCTGAAATGATGAAAAAAAAGAACAGGGTTAAGTTACTGCATACGAAATACACCATAAAGCATTTTGCTTTCTTTATTCAACATATTTCACTGAACTGATTCTGCGACTGACCCCCAACCCTTTTCCCAGTAAATATTCATTTAGAAGTCGGAGGACTTGTGAGAACAAAATAACATACCCAAGCTTTTGTTAAAGTGCACAGGAAATAAACCTCTGAAACAAGGGAGCTTCTACAGAAATATAAAGACGGTCCAAGCCCAGGCACACATGCAGGGGAAGATGTGAGCAGTAAAGAAGTTCCACAGGAATAACTCAGCCCTTTGGCACAGCTCTGTGCACTTGAATCAAAGCTTGAGAACATGTAAAAGAGGTATAAAACACTAYAGTGTTTCCCTAGTTCCCTAGTTCACTCCACGTGATCTCTGCTTCCTTAAAAACACATACTTAAACCTATGARTAACAACAAAGCCATTTCTGGCCCACACATCACAGTAGTTACRACACATGATAACCTTTAGTCTAAATGATACCAAAATGAGCATCACTTTAAACCTATTTCTAGATACAGATAATATAACAGTAGCTACTCTTTCATTGCATTTATTATTTAATCAGTGTAAGAACTGCACGGTGTAATATCTCCGGGGTTTCTTATATTTAGACCATGACTGGCAAGACAGTCTGCAGCATGTCACTCAATCAGGAGAACATCTGAACAACTTTTCATTAAAAATTCTAATGAAATAAATCCTGTCACAGCAGCTTCTAGCAGCGTACAATATTTTCAGTAATCGCTTGACAAGCTTCACTGATTTAGGAGGAAGGTACGAAATTCATGAACCGGGCTATTATGACTCACTTCTTGTACACTGACACCTAGACAGAACCCTATCCAACCATAATTCCACAAGTCAAGAGCACAGAGAGTTCATTTCATTTTCACAGGAATTTCCTCACAATCCATCAGGGATTCTTCTTTTGTAAAAACCCATGTAAATTTGAGCACTTACAAGTCAAGATGGAGTCTTTGCTATTAAACTACTCATGTTTTGTTAGGACAGCTAAATATTACACACTAGTAACAAGAAAAAAACTCTACAATGAAGCCAGCAAATTTACGGCTAAGCAATAAATTTAGATAGACAGATAGAGGCTTGAAGGACTCAAATCCYGAGCACTGAGATTATCTCATGAGATTTTGGTCTTTCTCTAACCAAATTTCCCCTTAATTAAATTTTGCATTAGGATTGATTTCTAGTGCTCACAAAAAATGCACAAAAGAAACACTTGCCAATCTCTTTTCTTTCTGCAGAAAATAACCTTACCTGTGAAAAGCTGAGAACAAGCTGCTAGGACTCAGTAACACTGGCCCTTGAGGCAGCACAGTGCCTCGCTCATTGACCCAGTGCAAGTACCCCCTGGTCATGTCTGCCATTCCAATAGCACGAGCCGAACAGTACAAAAATTTATAGCCATTCCTGTGAATTGGAAAACAAAAAAAACAAAAATAGCTGTAGAAATCAACTTTTCATATTGATAATTTTGTGAGCTGATTTGTACATGAATAGATCATGACTGTTAAACAGACCTACATTTAACCGAGACTTCTTAAAAAGAAGTAAAAACATTAATGCCAGAACCTTGGATAACCGAAATATGTTTAGACCCCCTGCTGTTACTGACTTACATGTTTCTCTCTGGTSTTTTCATGGGTCTTTTATCTGCTGCTATATGTTGGAATCATATKCCTTGGAATTAACTGAAATTCAGTGTCCTAAGAGGAAAATACTTGACATAAAGCAAAGATGTATTAATCTTTGCAGCATTAATAGTGCTGTATTCCCACCTTTTGGGCCTCTGTAGAAAAAAGATTAGTGTAATGTGTTCCTTTAAATGTGAGCAATYTGAATTTCAAAAGATACTATTAGATGTAATGTTTGCTTTCAAACTGAAATAAAAGTCTCAGTAGAATTCACAGGTTACTCTTTTCAGGTATCTTGTTTTTCTCCATGTTAGAATAGAGTTTGATAATGTCAGTTCAACTTAGCAAGGTATGTATTTCTTTAACAATCAATAACAATTTATTTTGCAAGTACAAGAAATGGTTCATGAAATAAAAGAATACAGTATTGACTGCATTCATGGGCATTAAATCTAGCAATTGCATATTTACAACCCATGCTGCTATAATATGTAGCTGCTATATAATTAACTCAGTAATTCAAATAACAACGTGACCCAAATCTTTTTTTCCCCCATGTTTATGGTCACCAAAGCTCCAACAATTGACAATGCTGGTGGACATAGAAATAACAACAATTAAAAAAAAATCAATTAACAATTTCACCAATTGTAATGTAGAGATTAAGAACAGAACTAAATACTGCTCAGCATGTGAATTCCCAGGCTATCCTGCCTTTTTTTTTTTTTTTTTTTTTAAATAATCACTTAGTCCTATACAGCCTAAAAGCCTGGATCAGCATCCCTGGCGTAATTTAGATTCTGTCATCCATAATTTGTAATTTATTATCCCTGTTAAAAACAAACAAACAAACAAACAAACAAACAGTAAACCAGCCTCAGCAAGGGACAAATCCGATTAACTAAAAGAAGAGTTGTCCTGCATACTACAGGCTCCCCAAGCATTTACGGGAATTTTAATATTCAAGAATGGCTAAATTTCATGAAATAGAGGAAAACAGGGCAGAGAGTAGGAGTATCAACCTGAATAAATATCTGTACAACATCCGGGCATGCCTTTCGTAGATGTTAAAATTTAAACTCCTAAACACCAGAATACAACAGATACTTCATCCAATCCCATCCAGACATCAGTTATTTTTCTCATTTCCTTTTTTTTCTCTGCTCGATCATTATACCAAAATAACTCACCACACTCTCCGTTTTTGATTTGATTTGCCAGTGCAAGCAATGGCTACCCTGCACAATCTACCTGGAAAGGCAGCACTCTGTCCATACCCTTTGCCTCTCTCACCCAGAACCATCCCGACACCAACACCCCATGTCCGTTTGTGCAGCATGGCTGCTTCTTCTGCTCACAGCAGTGAACCACAGCAAGCGCCCCATGTTTTGTGTTTGTAGAATAGCTTGCATTGTCTTATTCTAGGATTTCTTTTTTAATTGATAAAATTAGCTGACCCAAAGCCCCGCTGTTCTACTGCTGTCAAGCACTTCCTCAATAGCCAAAGGAAAAATATTTCAAATCACTTATATCTCAGGCATATCAAAGGTCCTCTTGAAGGTGTCCATCCTCCTTCASTGCCTACATCAGGTGTACAAGTAGTAAGTGTGATGAATCCAGCTCCTTTCACACACAGGATGTATTTATTTCTGATTTCTTATTTCTGTGGGCCAACAAGCACTAGTGCAGATCAATATGAGCTGAGATACAGCTCAGTAGTTGATTTTTCCACGTAACACAAGCCCACAGGCTTTTCACAGCATGTGTCTCATTGACTTCTGAGGCTTTTAAACTGCATTTCACGCAATGTTTATTCAATACCTTCTCTAGAAATTAGCCAGGGACACAAAAATATTTTAAGACTGAACCTGCATAAAATTTAATAATGGAATAACTAAAACATAYACAGGCAAATAACAAAAACTGTACAACTATCAGTAACAAAGCACATCATACCTGTCTTGGAAGTTTATCCTTATTTACACTGCTGTTAACTCAGCTGACTCAACCCATTCAAATTACTAGAGTTTTCAGAACTGGATTATAATTAACTGTCTGGTTGGGAGAGCCATCACTGCTCACTGGTGGGGGGCTTTTACTCGTATTATGAAACAGCTCTTCCTCTGGATACCCCAGAGGGCTTGTAATGACAAGACAGTGATGAAATAGTCACTTATAGGTTAAAAGAAGTCTACAGAYTTTAATTTTTATGTGCAAATGAATAAACATAGAGAGTGACAGATACATGATCTACTGAATACTCACTGGCTCACTTTATGGTACAACTTTGCAATCCCTTGATGTGTCCAATCTTTGCCAAGAGTAGGCAGAATATGGCCTAAAGTATCTGACCTGAAAGAAAAAAAAAAGAATAAAAATGAACTGAAAAAAAAAAAGAAATTTAAAAAAGGTCAAACCTATCTTTTATTTCTTAAATAATAACATATGGGACTAATACAAATATTCTGCACTTGACTGATGACACAAAACATTTTTCTGTACATAAAAACAGGTGATAAAACAGGTTTTCTAAAAGATATGGATTGCGATCAGAATAATTTATTGCCATTTCTTTTAGGCTGGACTAACATGCCTGTCTTTCACCAAGTGGWTTTAGTAACTCTGCATGCCAAGATTCATTTTCATGAAAAAGCTATCGAGCAATAGGCAAAAATGRATCTGGTAACTGGTCAATACTAAGCACACTTTAAGTTTAGGTTGAATGTTTTCTAAATAAACTAAAACTACCCCTAAGGGCAGTTAATGTGAAACTGCAAACACAAGATAAATTCACATTCTAGCTTACATAAAATTAACTTCTCCACGTAGAAAAGCCTGCTGATCATGTGCCAAGTATTATGAGACAGCTATACTGGCTTCAGTATATTTACATAAAATTTTATTATTACATTGTAATAACATCTAGAAATTCCCCAAACTGAGTATCTCATTTGACTATGCAGGATACAAACATACAGCAAAAAATCCACATCCTGAATGTCTGGCATCTTAGAGAATAATAGCTTGGGCAGGCACCTAAGATGAATTTGAAGCAATATTATAAGATAAACTGATTCAGAAACTGTCCAGTCACCTCAGCATCACACAAAGAAACAGACCACTTCTCACTTTCCTAAAATTTAAATAATAATTAAAAAATAGCATGTGTGGGGAATTAATTTGTTAATAAATATTGGAGTGTGGTCATTCTTYGCCTTAATTCTCTGTTAATTACTTTTATTTTTTGCTGTACTCCAAAGAACAGCTTGTCCTTGCAGATACAGTTTCTCCCTGCTCATGAACTCACCGTGTGATTGTTCCATCAATATCAGAAATAATGACTTTATCATCCCAATTCCACAGGTAAATGGTGCCCTCGCAGCGACAAGTGCCTTGATACTGTGTTGTAACGCTAAAGGTCACGTCATTRGGGCCATTCTTGAGCTTTAAGTTTTTCTGCAACACATTATCAGTAAGATTATCAATGCAGTGACTGTGAAATGACATAGTACAAGCACAAAGGCAGAAACGATCATTGCTTTGGTCACTCTGAATCTTTTTTCTTTCAGCAGACTTATTCTCTATGCATTACCAGAATTTTTTCCCATGTGATGTATTTATAGAGTAAAACACAACAAAGCAAATATTTAAAAGTTCCCTAAATAGTGAAATCAAGGAAGAAGGCTTATATATGAATCTATGTTCTATGGTACTGCACCTTTTCCTKTAATAATAATAACCCATCTTTCATACCATATAACCAACTTCCCAGTAGTCCTCACCAAGTTTCCTTAACTCTCCCACTTCCCTGACTTTCCCCAGTCTCTATCACTTAGCTACTCATTGGACAMGAGAGTAATGATGTGTGTCTACTTGTGGAGCCAGAGATGCATTTTCACAAGAGTTAAAGGAGTTTAATACTTTAAATGTTTCTTCTTCCTCTGTTATATTTCACTGCAATTCGTCAGTGGGTTAATAGCTGCAGGGAGATGTGAATGCTGAACTGGTTACTGAAGGTAACCAGTAAGACTTAGTGTTTCCTCAAAAGACCTATTTTGAGTTTCTGTTTGAGCTTCTGCTAAGCCCCCTAAATTTTCTGAATCTGAAAACTCAGTATCAACATGTTTGTGTAACCCTTGCTTTCCATTTGCTATAGGCAGTAACAAACAAAACCCATCTGTTTCTTCCAAAAATTACACATTTCTAACTAACTATTGGACCAATGTGTGATGGGYTGTGTAACTCTGTATTCCTGTGTGTTTCCTTTAAAAAGTTAATTGGTTGTAGATAAGAACACAAAAAGTTTTCTTCTTAAGCAGCCATTTTTTTCCAAATCAAATAGGAACATACTGAGCACAAAACAGCAAGTTTTGCCACTATTAGTCAAAACACCTCTGTCACAGAGGAAGAGATTTGGCTCCCAAGAAATTAATAGCCTGTCCTCAGAGTAAATTAACAAACAGCTCTTTCAGAAGCTACTCAAAGACTGTGTTTGTGTAAAATGTGCCTGTACACCTAAGAATGAAGGAAAAGGAAAAAAAAATACAGGCCTGTTGACATCTACTCAAATAAGCACATTATATATAATATAGAAAGGATGTGGTTGCAGTACACTTCTTAAAATACAGACTTTAGAATTTAATTTTGGTATTTATCTAAATGGGATCCCATGTTTCCCAAGGTCTGAAACCCAACACATATTGCAAGGTACAACATTTATGCTTAATATGGAAAAGGAAAAAGAAAATTGAAAATGTAATGAAAGACAGGATTTAAGCAGCAAGAGCTAATGAAGCCTTGCAAGTCTGAGTAACAGCACGGTTCTTGTTTTATTAGAAATGGCATTTCAGGACAAGGAGGTGAGTAACAGCACGGTTCTTGTTTTATTAGAAATGGCATTTCAGGACAATGAGGTAAAATTAACTCACAAGCTGGTCAGAAGTGAGTCGAAGGGTTTTCTTGTAACTAATTCCAGACAATAATGACAGATGACTGGAGCTGGTTTGTAAGGACCCAAGGTTTTGTTTGGCAGCTCTAGGGTCTTCATCACTTGACGAAGATTCATCCTTTATTCTGCAACATGGCACACACAGAAAGTGATGCTATCTCAGTAAGTGCATCTCAGTATCCATTAAAAAGGCATTAACAGTGAATCACCCAGTAAGTCATTGATTCTTTGCTCCTACGTGCTGCCTCTCAAGAGGTCATTCACAACCTGCCTGTAAATATAGCAATRAAGTGCTGGATTTTCATTCACGCATATTCCCCGTTATTCATACTTGGATTCTTCTAGTCATTCAGTTGTCTCTATGCTATTTCTTATCACTTCAATTTAACAGATTAACATGTCATGTTGACTCATAAAGATCTCATAGATGAAAAATATCTGTCAGATACTATAACTGCTCTTACAAAAAAACCTCTCAATTCTTAGCTAAAAAAATGGGGGTTTGTTATATTGACTTTTTTTCCCCATACAATTTAGCAATTATTAAATCTATATATCCCAACTATGGTGATAACAGCTTTAATAGAGAAAATAACTTTCACTTTATCTTTTCTTTCAGTGAACAGTTTTTGTTCATTGGATTATTCTTTTCCAAGATACTTTGCAGAATTATCCTGTTCAGGCTGTGACAATGAAAAGCCATGAACTGGAATTCCTTTACAGTATGTCATTTTAAATACACAACAGTATGCAAATATTTTTTTCTGACACATCTCTTTTCCAGAAATGTTTAAGCATATTTTCTTCAGAAATTCCTACAATAAACAAAACTACCACCTCAGRCAGCAGTTAAAATATCTGTTAAGATCCTACAAATCCCATCAATAAACAACCAGYATCTGGCCTCTTATTTCTACCACAGCTGGATTACGTTCCATGTTAGCAAGTCTTGACCCAGTATCAAGATCTCAAGACACCACTTCTCATAATTGGTAACATTTTATTATCCTTTGTATGATCACATCTCAAAAACACTGTTCAGCATTTCAGTTACTGCACTGTACTTACAAGCAATAAATTCTTACTGACAGATTTCTAACATTTAGACAAAGAATGCTGATTACAGCATCTAGTCTATTTTAAGTGTAATCTCACTTTACAGCATATCCTTAAACAACCGTTTAAACCATAAAAAACACAACAGACAAACRCCATTTGTCATCATTAAAGAGAAAAATCAATCTTTTCAATTCATTCTGTGGCTTTCACATATTCAGAAAACAGAGGCAGCTAAGGCAATAGCTGGTGTCCTACATGACACGGAATTCTTGCTGCAGCAGATTCTCCTGAACTGCAACTGCTGACCCCCAGAAAGACAGAGAACCAATGCAAAAATAGCATCTCTTCTTCCTTTTTGTGTCACGAGCAACTTAAGCATTAAGCATCAGCAGAAAGCGTTTTTGAATCTGGGTCCTATGGCCCTCTTCAGCTCTAAGTGCAAGCASTGGAGCTATGGGCTGTCTTTGCAGTAAGATATGTGCAACAAAAAGGGCAGGGTAGGAGAGCTGCCCCTGGCTTATGCAGCCCTCTGGAGCTTCTGGGCTCCATCCTGGGATCCCTGCTAGAGGAGGGATTCTGGCCATACAGTTTATCCCTCTAGAGCAAATGAAGCAAAAGACTTCTGCAATCCTTGAGAGAATTAATAAGAAATTATGATATTTTCCTACCTATTGCCAGTTAGAAAAAAAAAAAAGGCCTGACAAGTTTTAGGCTCCCTGAAGTCCTAAGATAGACAGGAACAAATTAAGACATCAAACCACAAATATGCCTACATCAGGAATTTTAGCAACTAAAAAGACCCAACAATGTGGAGTCAACTATGATGTTCCCTGAGAATTCAGGGAGATATAAATAACTTTGGAGAACTGTTCCCATTATTAAGGGATTGGAATATCTGTGCAATACTGGAGATTGGAATACTTGCCACAAAGCTGCCAGCCAAATCTTAAGCTGGAAATGCTAGAGGACATTTGCAGGGTCTGCAACCATGTCATGGCTGCAGCCTTCTCATCTGCATTTATTTGCTAAAATGAAGAGCAAACTGGACGTATTTCACTGTTGCCACATTGCTTTGTTCAAGTGTAGTTTGCTCTGCTTTTCAGACAGCAACTCCTGCTCCCTTCAGGTGCAAGTAATTTTTTAGGTACCTGTTGGCCATCATCTGCGAAGAGTCTTGTCCTGTTAGTCCACTCCCACTCATACCTTGTTCTGGCTTTGCTTCCTGTAAAAACACAAGTATGAGATTCTGTGATTCTCCTATTGGGCACAGAGCAGATGTTTAGAAAAAAATTATTTAAGAATGAAGTTCTGTGGTGGACTGAGCAGGCAAAACCAATACCACATGCAAAAAAAAAAAAAAAAAAACAAGTGACGGTTTTCTTTCTTTGCTTGTAAAGTAAACCTTGTGGTTTTAAGAAAGAGGGCTGCCCAAAGAACTAAAAAGCTGCAAGTATAAAACTCAGGAGATGAATTAAGATTCATCCTGGAAAACGTACAGAAATATCAGATGTCACATGGCTAGCACCGTTGACATTGTGGGATCAYTCCCACAGCTACCTTAGCTCACTCACCTCAAACAGCTAGTTTTCACTTGAAAAAGCAAGGTATAATTCTTCAAAGTTTTAAAATATATTCCAAGTAATCARAAAAAATTTTCAATAAAACTTTCCAATCTGCCTTAAACAGATGTTAAGATTTGATAAATTCTGTTCCACACATAGAATGATTTTGAGAGAAACAAATGAGAGTGACACCTCCCTTTGCCTACTGAGTTGCCAGAGATCAATATGTGAGCAAATAAATTCACTCAGAAAGAAATTCTACAAAATCCAGAAGATCGTAAGAATCTCTTATTCCGAAGCTCGCACCTGTAGCTAAGTACAATGKTTATTTCATTCAAACCTGAAAAGTTCATCTACTGAAACATAACCACAAAAATGTATTAGAAGTCATATTAGCTGCTCAAGCTCTAATGCTGCAATACTATAAATTAATATGGAGAGATTTTATTAGCCAACTTTAAAGCTTAAATACGTCTAGACTGGAGATCAATACTTCATATAAAGCTCTGCTTTTTTTCACTGAGCTTTAATGTTCATCCATGGGTTTAAGGCTGTTACCACAAACTTTTAATGCCCAGAAAAGAAATTCCAAAAGAATGATAAAACTAATATATATTCATTTTTCCATCTTAGGTTTCACTGAATTTTACTGTTCACTCTAGTCATAAATATCTCTGACTTTCAACCGTCAAATGAAAGTAGCAGAAACATAGACAATCTGCACAAAGGTATCAAATTAGTGGCACAAGTCTTCAGTTCTAGATCCCAGACACAGATTTAACCYGTAAGATCACACTGCCTCAGGTCTACGTAATGAACAGAAAGGTAGAATGAAAATCCTGTAATCAAATGTTTCAGATAAGGGCTAATCCAAGGCTTTCTGAAGCCAAGAAGAATTCGTTATTTATTTATCTTTTAGTGTGAATGCTTTCAGTGAGTGTTGAGCTATCCCCAGCAGCAAAGCTCTGAGGATTGAATATGGAAGTATCCAGCATTCCAACAGCACCCAGGAAGACACTCTGCTTTCAAACTTACCTCTTTTATAGTGCTGTTTCTTCCTCGCCATGAAAACCACCATCTTCCACCTTTTTTTGGCATCTTATCTCTCATTATAGATTCCACAGTGGCCTGTGATAAATGAGTGGTAACATAAAAAAAAAAAAAAACCCACCCCCAAACAAAGGACAATCTAATATATGAAAATGAACAAAAGCGCCAACACACAATTTTAACTCATGATAATAGAATAAAAGGAAACATACTGTCTGTGGACCATAAATTCTACTAAAGCAAAACCTAATGGTATCCAGAGCTGCCCTGATGTAACTTAAGCATGAATACTTATGGAATGTTTAAAAGAAAGAAACAGAAAAAAAGATAAAAATCAAAGAAGAAAAAAAAAAGCATAAAGAGGTATTAGTATAATGTCTAGAATGGAGAACCTACAGTTTTTGAGTTGAAGTCGTTTAGTGAAAATCAAAAAAACAAATTAAAAGGTAGATCATTTTTAAATAGAACTCTCATGCATGACAGTTACAACCCAGCATGCAAGATGGAAACTCCCTCGTTCAAATAAATATGAAATCTCATTTAAAAATACTGATAAAATTAATATTTAATCATCTGTTTGGGAGAAGCAAAGAATTTACCAATTTGTAGGGGTTTAGTAGCATGGCATCAATTCAGCTGGTTGTGTTAGGACTACTTTTTAGCCCTGGCTACTTTTCATTGGTTACATACAGTGCATGTCGGTAGAGAATTTTTTCTTTCAATGAGGGTGCCAGAGCCCTGGAACAGGCTGCCCAGGGAGGTTGCCCAGGAGGATCTTCCAAACCTGCCTGGATGCCACCCTGTGCCCCGTGCTCTGGGTCTCCCTGCTGGAGCAGGGGAGTTTGGACTAGATGGTCTCTAGGGATCTCTTCCAACCTCAACCATTCTGTGATTCTATGATTCAAAATGACTGGAGTCTTACACATTGTAACAGKGAAAACTGAAAACTTTTGCTTGGAGAGCAAGTAAAGGGCAACTGGTAAATAGTAAATAAAGGTGGCAACATCACTCGGCGTGACCTAAAATTACTTRGCAGCTGTTCTTATGAGACGAGAGCCTCCCAAGACTTAATGTTGTTTTCCACTGTCATAAAACTATTACGCTGATTAGTGGTTTAAAAAGACCTGTCTCCAAGATCCAAGATCTGTTAGCAGTTATGAGAGAGCAAACTGAGATCAGCTAATGCATGAGACAGTGAAATATAGGCTTTCCAAAAAGTTCCCACTCACTGCATCTGAAGGATATCAGAAAATCAAGAAATGACAGAGAAATAAAGTTGAGCAAATACATTTTGAGATTTTTTTAACAGAAATACTAAAAAATAGAGAAGCAGATGGAGCTATTGAGAATGCAAAGCAGCTGCAGAGAACAATGGCTACAAGTTAAGGAGGTTCTCAAACAAAGAACTTCAAGCAGATGCAACACAGACTTTTAATGAGATAATTCAAATGAGATAATTCAAATGCTTGTAGTTAAATGTATTTTGCTGAACATGGGTGAATGTCTATCAAAGCTCCAGCTTTTAATCAATTCCTAGAAGCTATATTGATAAAGCATCTTAATATTTCTATTCCTTGTAACTATGTAACTTGTCCATTCAATTGGACAATACAAAGTTATCCAATTCTAGAATTTAAAATAACTGTAAAAAAATGAATATTGTGAATGTCACATTCATAAAAGACTTTTCTTAACTGATGACCCATTTGCACAGGTTATGAAATGACAAAACCCTGGTGTTGTTGAAGACATTACCTTTCCCCTTAATTACAATGGGGCAAATATTACATTCTGATTCTTCCAAGATAAGATGCCTGAGAGATGTTTTGGCTTTTATGTGTCTAGCTAAAAATGCAGTTGTGTCACATTCTCTTTATTGTCATGGGGGACACACTAGGCATGTATCAAGATCCAGATCCCTCAGTGGAAGGACCCAGTAAATATAAATGCAAAGTAGGACAATCATACTTCTACTGTAGCTAGCTGAGTTATTTGGAATAAATCCCAATTTTGATTATTAGCAGAATACTTGCACTACACAAAAACTGGTTCTGTGACATCCCTGAAATTCAGGCCTGGTCTACCAGATGTTTGGAATTCTCTAATCAGTTGACTTTACACTGGGATGGTAAAGTAGCCTCTAGGCCTGCTTGCCTATATTTCTGTTTCAGTGACACTACAGCAGAGTATCATGGTGGTAGAGTTGTGGGTGTGGGRATAATTTTCACCATGCTTTATGGCAATAGTGATGGTATGTGAACTCACTTAAACTCAGTGACGTCACGTGTGCAGAAAGCTGAGTGCTGCAAATGGCAACATAAAAGTTCAGATTTCAAGACTTACTAAATCTATAGGTAACCAGTATATAAGTTAGTGCCAATGGTGATGCCCATTTCTTTATAAACATACACAGTGGGGTGTGTTTCTGTCCTGAGCATCTATGTGGCATCCTGGAATTACATGGAATTACACTAAATTCATTAATGAACTTAATACAAGATATCACACAACGATCACATGGTGATATCTACCACTATCTACAAGGGTGGTTTACAAATGAACAACCTAGAAAGAGAAAACTAACTAGCTATAGACTTCCCTTCTATTCTAGCACTTTTAAAGTTTATTCACCAAGGATAAAATCCCTGGCCTCTATTTTTATTTGATAACATATGAGGTACAGGTACAAAATGAAGTCAGTCACCCAGCATTCAGCTCCAGCTTACATTAATGTGAGCAATCCTACAACAAACGTTAATGTGGGTAAGTACTATTTATTCTTACAACACATATTAATAAAAGAAGAATGGAGAAGGTAAAGGATCTAGTGTTCAACTATTTGCAATGATTTTAGCAAATAAATATTCTTCTTGGAGTAAATTTAATTTTGCTTATGCAGCCACCTTGCTATAAGCCACGGCAATAGTTACGCCTGGAGAGCTACCACTGATGAGCAGATTCTTCAGTAAATCCTCCATTTTCCCTGCCCTCGTGAGTTATACACCTTAATGAAGTCCAGAATGCCACAACTCCCATTCTGACTAACTTCCATGTTCAATCTCACCTTTGGCAAAGGTTTCTGGAATGCCTGCATCGCCAACAGAAGGGGACCAGCTGTTGTCCAGTTGTAGTATCTAGGCATGCAAGAGAGATGGTTACAGTACTCTGTGATCCCAGGTCCTAATACCAAGTATTTATTATGTGATAAGTTAGAGCCATGAAGTCCCTTTATRAGCCAGACCAGACCAGACCCCTTTAACTTCACTGTGTCTTTACTAATATTTATGGAAAGGGCTTTTCAACAAATGCAAGAAGAGCTAAATCCTTAAGTAAAAAAGATATTTGTTACTCATTCTGCTTGTTCTCACTACATCTCACTATGAGAATATGAGCTGTGTTTTCACAAGCTGTTTTTCTCTTCTCTTCCTAAACATCAGTAGGCAGGTAAATATGCCCATCCCTGAGGAGCCACTGAGAGGGTCAGCTACATGCTGCTTGAGTTCTCTGATAAGTAAGACAAGGGAATCACATATGTAATAACTAACACATAAGGATGCATGCGGCACATCAAATTTGTGTTATATGACTAAGGATAGAATAACCTCTAACTGCAGCACAGGAGTATAATCTCTCCTATAGTCTGTAACACAATATGCCAGGTACAAGGAATGTGAAGTTAAAATACACTCTGCATAACAGCTGCATCTGGCATACACCACAGTGCTGCACTGTTGCCATGATCATAAGCACATGAAATAAAGTCTCAGCCTCACAGGGCCGAGCGTCTCATACTCAGAGAGTGAGGCTTGACAAGTCTTGGAAAGTGATGCCTCTGCAGAGACATGTGAGCAAGGTGCTCARCATACAGAGATACCCTGATAGGTACAGCATGTTTGCAAGCAGACTGACATGTCCCTACAAATATTAATTAGTGAGACTAGTCAAGGCAAACCTTAGCAAATTCATATTCCATTTAATTTTTATTCTTCCAATTGAGTGAACACTATTAGTACTTAATACTAGCTTCCTGGAATCCAAATTAGGTTGATTAGCTCTGACAACTCATCTGAAACAGCTCTTCATTTTCACTTTAAACAGGAGAATTAAGAAGCTGAATTCAGAGGAGATTTGACTTTTTCTGCGTGAATCTACAGTACGAACATTCAAAACCTACTTCTCAGCTATGGTGAAACTGGCATTTAAGTGCCAAAAGTAATATTTCTGTTACAACAACAAAGTATGTTTCTCTTAAAATATACTTACTTATTTCCAATTTTGATCACAAGGTTAGGGTCATCGATGATAGCAGGATTGTCCACAAACTGCTGATATGTTACTGCATGTTCTAAGAACTCTTCTGTTGAGAAAAAAAACACATCTGTAAAGCCTGCACCTGTAAATATTTGGGATGGGTCAATCTAAACCTAAATCAATCTAATCTCTTCACACATCTCAAACATTTAGGTTTCACATCCAGGGTCAGTCCTTTATTACTGAGGTGATGACATTAGCAGTAATATGAAAGTAGTATGTTCAGAGCTTCTCAGAAGATCATGACTGTTTCTTTCTAAGTTGCTGGGTGTCTTCAGAAGAGAAGCTAAGAGAAAGCCTGAGGAGGCAACTCTGGGGAGCAGGGTGGAAATCAGGCTTGTAAGCAAGTTATGGAAGTGCCTTGTCATTCCTTCCAATCATCCTCTGTCTGAGCTAGGAGCAGGAATTGATGGGCTTAACATATATGCAAACTCATAGTAAAAAAACTAATTTGTACAGACTTTACAAAATATGCCCATCCCTGAGGAGCCACTGAGACATCCAAAACATGGATGTCTGAACAAACACCCTTTCTACTACCTGTGATTCCTTACACAAAATCCASAGTTAACAAGTGGATTGAATTTTCAGAACAAAAGATAGCTCCTATAAATCACAGTATGTGACTCGAGTAAAAAATCAAAAGTCCCATATCAGTTTACTATTTTAAAAAATTCTAGGAAATTTCTTCTTTCTGACCAAGWACTATTTTCCCAGCAAGTTCTACGGTACAGCCACAGGAGGGCACTGCTTCCTTGGCCAGTGAAGCTTAGACTTGGCTGACAGCATGTCCCTGTAACGGAGAAGGACGTTCTGTACCTTTGGTTATTTCTTTGTTTTCAGTAAGACCTCCACAGAGAGAAACAGCAATGGAAGGCAGATCTCTAATTCCATCCGAGACACTTTCCACACCACTGTCAACACCTGAGCTCCCAAAGGACTGAGGGGATTGACTGGCTGACCGCGGCCCATTGTCATTTCCATTCTTGCTTTGGACATTATCCCCACTGAAAAAGAAAAAATCAGGCATTCAAACTTCGTATTTTCATCTCCACATGTTCTCCTTTCAGCAAGCAGAATTTACATCTGAAACACACATAGGAAAATCATATCCTACCTAAAAGAAATGAACTTCCTTTTGCCATAAAATTTAAACAGAGTAAAATAAGCTTCACTACACACTCAAAAAACATTTTGTTTCTAATTCTTTGCTTAAACTGGGTGGGTATGACTGTAGCTTAATTTATTTATATAAGACAGGAAAAACAGAACAATAAACTGCACAAATTTAGTAGACAGAGTAACATCATGATAAGCAGAGTTTATACCAAAAGAATTATTCCTGCACAGGAAAAGAATAAAAATATTATTTTATTCTCAAATCTCTATTAATTATATAAGCTGACAGCTGAATTCACAACAAAGAATGTATAAGCTTGTCTGCTTGTTTATGTTTATGTGACATATATACACAACATGTATAAATATGTAAAGATTCTACATACAAACAATTAGAATTAATTAATGTAGAGGCACCTCCCTAAATAATTCTACCAGTTTAAAATCTGTGTTCCTACAGATAATTACCAGAATGTAATGTAGCTCATCAAATTCTGCTTTACATTCCAGACTTACAGGAATGCATTTGAGAAGAGAACTGAAATCTAACCTTTTTCAATACATATTACTAATCTCTTTTTTATTAAAATGCTAATATTACAACAGTTTAAGCAAGCAACAGAGAAAAATAAACTATGCAAGCTACTTTAGTTGCTGCTCAATGACTTTAATCAGGTTGCTAGAACCTTTCCATATGATATRGAAAGAACACGATATGTTAAAAGAGGTTCTAACAGAGGTTAAAACAAATTGAAAATTATATATTTGGSGCGAAATATTTTCAAAAAATGCATCTCATGCAAAAATGATCTTCTASCATTCATATTTATAAGTGATCACCTACATTAGAACAATGCCAGTGCAATAATTTCATTCKAATACTATTAACAGGCAACTATGTTATTCGAGGTAATAAGCAAGGACATGTTGGGGGGTGTGTGTGTGTGTGTATATATATATAACTCCCAAGGCCAACTGCTCTCCCAGGACATATAAGTAACACTCACAAACATCAGTGTACATTACATAACAATCCACAATCAATATATGGTATTTAATTGACCAAAATGGAAAGTCAAATTGAAACACAAATGGAAAGCTCTCCAAAAGTTCTAACTCTCCTGTCTACAGGAGTTTTATTTTCCTTTATCTTTTYATCTTGTTCTTATAAAGAGTTTGTTGTAAATATGGAAGAATAATATTGCCATTTGAACAGTAAAAATATGAACAAACAACTTATACTTTTTGGGGAAATAAAGTGCAGCAACTTCTGGATCCATGTCAGTGAGGTCATCTAAATAGACACCGTCAGCACCCAGATGCCGGCTTCGTTTGTCTGCGAGGGATAGCACAAACAAGCCTATTAATTAATATTATCTGAGTAACAAGCCCAAATTATTATTGTCATATAACTAGTTATTTGAAAAATAAAAAAGCAGGTAAGTTATAACACTACATAAAGTGCAATTGGCTAAARCAGCAGGGCCAGAAGATTAAAAACTGGTCACTAATATTTGCTGTTAATACTCTGAATGCACAAACGAGATAAAGGAGGCTTAATTTTGTAAAGTGCTGAAGCCTCACAAGAGAAAAACAGTGGGACTTAGAAGTCAGTGGTCACCAGAGAAAAGAAGACAGCAAAATGAAAACTTTCTGGCCTATTTACATAGGTCTAAAATCACACTAAGGTCATCAAAGCATTTAATCTCAAAAAAAAAAAAAATTCAATCCATCTTTCCACAAGGGAAATAACACAGTAATACACTATAAACTACAATTAAACTACTGAAAATTAAGTATTCCATGAGTCCATGCAGCCTTGTAGGAGACACATAAGACAGGAGAGACCTGAAGCCAGTCCTCCTCAATGTCAGATTATTATGAACACAGTGTCATCTGTATCAAGTTCAGGAAGGGAGAATGCAGGGAGGAAGGGGACAGGCTGTTCTCACTGGTGGCCAGCGATAGGACGAGGGGTAATGGCCACAAACTGAAGCATAAGAAGTTCCGTCTCCAGRTGAGGAGCAACWTCTTTACTGTTAGGGTAACAGAGCAGTGGAACAGGCTGCCCAGGGAGGTTGTGGAGTCTCCTACTCTGGAGGTCTTCAAAACCCRCCTGGATGCCACMCTGTGCCACATGCTSTAGGTGTGCCTGCTTGAGCAGRAAGGTTGGACTAGATGATCTGTAGAGGTCCCTTCCAACCTTAAATATTCTGAAATATTCTGAAATATTCTGAAATCTCTGTCCTGTATATCCAAAAAAGTAACTAACTGCTCTAAGGCAAAATCCTCATTTGGAATTCATTCAAAAATACTCTGCTTAGCATTGTCGGAATGCTCAACACGAAATTTCAGAAAAAGAGTATGTAGAGTAAGCAGAGTAAAGATGTGGAACATAAGGGGAAATAGCTAAGAAATTTCTTCATATGTTTACTGATGAGGAACAACTTTACAAATTAAATCATATAGGGTTAAAGTAATTATAGAATAATTAAGACTCGAGATGTAAAATCTGTAAGTAAATAAATTTCATGTGACGTCTCCAACACTTAGAATAAAGTAGTATGCTACCGATCGCAAATATCAGCAAGTGGAAAAGCATACTTTTACATATTGTGGTATTTCAGAGATACTTGTTACATCTCATAAATTCAAGACAATATATATACAACACAGAACTTAATTTTCTCATGTGAAACAAAACTATTACATAATTTTAAATATATATTTTCAGTCTGCTGTTCACACAAAAGRCATAATGCAATTTTGAACTGGTGTATGGAGGTTCCACAAGTAACAGCAAGACAAAGTAACTCAGAAATCAGGACAGCAGTTGACCCAGCGGATCTACGCTATGCTCGTACCAACAACTGAAAACTCTGAATCTGTGAAATCAAACGAAGTTGAAGCAAGTGCAGCTTTACTCTTAAATACAAAGCCGCTTATCCTTTTTCACATCTGAAAATGTCGTAAGGGCACAGGTTAATTCATATGAAAGTGATTTATCACTATGAAATCCAAAGGCAAAATCATGTATATTACAGTGCAGAATCAACAGCTTTACCTTTCCTTCTGGAAGGAGAATCTGTCTTGCCAACTGGTTGGGCTGTACAAGCAGCAGCTTGTCTTATTTCTTCATTGGCAGGCAATGGTGCTACAGATGCTACTGGAGACTCTATCTCTGACTTATTTGTCTCAACTGGCAAGGGCTCAGTTTCATCAGCAGTTGCTGCATCTGCTTGTTCAAGGGTAGGATGAGGAGACACAGTGCTAAACTCCTCTACAGGAGTACTCTGGATGACCCGAAAATGAGTGTYTTCAGATGGATCTACATCTACCACGCTGACTTCCTTTGTTTTGAGCAGGGAAGTGGCCTGTGAGGAAAAATAAACGGACTGGTAGAATGAAAAATTCTTAGGAAAATGAAAGAGACTGAACAGTTTAACCTGTTCTACACATTCCCACTTTATTTCAAGGTCAATTGGAGTTAAAAGCATTTCCTGAGGCACTGGCTAAGGCTCTTAAGATGATTCATTTGCCCATTCACTGAGCAGAAAGCCACAGCTAGGCAAGCTAGACTCCACAGAGCACAGAAGACCTGCACCCTGCTGGACTTCTGGATGTCCAATTCTCTTGCGCCGCAAGCTCAGGAAAGGTTTGTTCCCAGCGTGTCCCACTGCATACTCACACACACAGATAGACAGACAGACACACACACACACACACACACGCATCCCACAGCTCTCTCCTCTGCACTTCCCACCTCAATTCCTCTGTTTCATTTGGAAGGTAACCCCTACACACATGAGAAAGGAGTGCAGTCTGGCGTCCTTGCACAAGCAGGATGCTCATGGACAGTAGCACTCTGGTGGCTCTTCTATAACCCAGATTAAGGTTTTAAATCAYTTTGTAGGCACAATCCTAGGTGCCTAGGTAAGGCATGATCASAGTAACTCAGAGGAGTTTGACTAGGGACATAAGAAGTGAGCGTAGAAGGGAAAGATCCACAAGTAAGATTTGCAGTACACAGCAGGCTACGTGATGGGGTTAAAAATGAAACACCTACTAACCTGTGTCTACTAACACAAGGCCCTAAATCTCAGACWGGAATTGCCAATTTGAAACTCCTACCTGGTTCTCTGCACGTAAATCAGTTCTTTGTGTATAGAAAATGACTCTCCATTTACTTGCAAAATATGTGAGGAGAATMATGTGGGGATAAAACACATTAAGTGACATGACAGTTCATCCTCTGCCTACTAAAAAAGAGGTCAGAGTTCTCCTGAAGCAAACAAGAAACCTGTATTCCCGACTACTGGCTCCTGATAGTGCACTATTATATAAACAGCACTCAGAACTAGCAACAGGAGAACATGAGTGTTCCTTCCAAGGAGGATATCCGTATTCCTGGGCTGCAAAGTGGCCTCTGTTTTTTCAGTCTGTTCCTGTCCCTATCACCCCTGCAGTCCTTCCCGCAGGGAAGCCACGCTTCAACAGAAGGTGTAAAAAGCAGCACCATCCCCACACTGGCAGTTACAATATGTCTTTGGAACTTCATTTCTCTCATCCTGAGGCAGGTGGAGATAGGCAGGCTATCCAAAGGAGCCAGCACGTGACCCATGGTGTACCCAGCACAGGGCTRCAGTGCCGCACGCAAGGCGAGGCTGCTGCTGCCAAAACACAGATCCCGCCATCAAACTGCGCCCCTGAAAGCCAAACAGCTTCCGGCAGGAGATGGCACCGAGCCGGTCAGCTCGGCCAAAGGAGAGCAGATACAGAACTGCAGGTGCTCCTCTGGGTGCTCACCCACCCAAACGGCCAGTTCTCATCTTTGTGAATCACACTGCTAACACCATGAACTGATTTCCACTTAAAGTTCTCTACATATTTCAGCGACCCAGATGATTGTTTTGCTTTTTTCTTCTAGGCCACTTACATCTGTAACTTGTACAGACTCGGATATTTTTGAATTTTCTACCATATATCACCTGTCCTAACAGAAACTGTGGGACAGCAGACTTTTCTGCACCTCTTAAAAGGCACGGTTAGTGACCAAGCTATCTACAGTGCAGAACGGCAAAAATAACGTTACAGAAACATGTTCRAGATTCAACCTGCAAATGTATGGGCTTAAATAATTTAAATTAACAAATAAAGCTACTGTCCTCTCATCTCCTGTTAGTATAAGTGTTTCCTCTTTGAGCTTCATCTCAAGCAACCTTCTCCAGAACTATCTAAATCATCCTGGAATCAGTTTGGCCTCACAAATTGATTCATTTTGTCTTACTTCTTCATTGTAATACATATTAGCTTCTCCTGATCTTTTCAAGTCTCTCCAGTGCTCAGATCCTAACTTTGATGTAATTTTCTTATATAACATTTTAGGCTTCTATGTAAAACCAAAACTGAACTCCCTTTTCAGCAGTCTGCAATAAAAATAAGCACATTGGCCACAGTAAAGAACACTTGATGTTGGCAAGAATTAAACAAAGTGCATTGGATACCTTTGCTGCCTGGGGAAGCTCTCCCCAAGCCCAGTGCATCTGTGGATTATTCTTCAGTCCTCCTCTGTCCGTAGGTTTACTGACTAATTCTGAATCACTTTTAGGAGTAGGAGGGCGTGAACCTGATGGGCTGGAGAAAAACAAACAAAAGAGAACTTTTATAAAAATATTACAAAAATAGAAGCCCAGAATATGGCATACAGCATCTGTATTTCAAAAGCAACTGTAACACACTAAACACTTCAATTCAAATCACTGAAAATCTACCTAATACTCAACCAATTGAGACTATGAAAGTGTGATACACCTGTTCAAGCAGTTTAGGAGTCTCTTAAACTGACACTCAGAGGGGTCTCACCTCTCACGATTTTTTAATCAGTGCYATAATACAGACAGGATTTGAGAAGCTGAGAGAGATAGGATAGGGAAACTATTGACCTGAGCATTTGAGGAATATTTTTGTTTTTCTGCAGGTGACAAAGCAATGGAGAGGGCACCAGCAGCAGTAGATGAACAGATGTCAGTACTGCCATAATGGATGCAAAGTGCAGTAATGATTCACAGACATCAACAAGCCATTTGGTCCTGATTAGGTAGTAAGATAGTCTAAGGAATCCAGTTGACARCTTCCTCCTCCTGACTTGTCTAGTTCTACCCTTGGATAGATGTTTATATGTTCATCAGCAGCTGTATGCAGAATATGACTCTTCCCAGTGGAAAACAAACTGTCTCACTGGCTCCAGGAAAACATCATACTTAATTATTAAATTAGTAAATTATCATTCTGCAGCATTTTTATGTGATGAACTCAGGAACAAAACATATCAAGTCAGCTACTAATAAGCGACTCCCTGGTTTCAAGGTCAAAAGGAACAACTCTGATTATTTATCCTGCCTTTCTGCATAAGGCGAACCATATAATTTCACCCAGAAACCACTGAACAACCTTTTTCTTTTTTTTTTTTTTCAGTCATAGCATGTATTTGGCAGGCACATGAAAACTGCATTTAAAACTACAAGCAACAAATGAATACACAACATTTCTAGATCAAAAGATCAGACCTGATTCACCTTAACTGGCATAAAGAAAAAAGCTTCTAGTCTGAAAATGCCTAGTCCTATTTGACTTACTCTTTACCTTCTGGATAAACTGAATACTCAGACCGACTTSTCTCTTTTAATGTAAAGTAGTACTGCAGGCCTCATTAGTAAGAAATCCACTGCACGTAAGCAAATAATTACTCTCATACAAGAAGCTTTTAAAAATCAGTGGATTTCACATCTGAAAACCAGCTGGTGAATCTAAGCTATTAGGTTGTAAAGGGCACCAATGTGGAAGATCTATTTTTAACTCAAAGATTTCAAATATTTATGTGTCTTCAGGGCATAACTTGCCATTTCATATACACGAATGAATCAATATCTAAAGATTCAAGAAATGTCTAAYGGGATTTTCAATCTTTTCTATATTTCCCACTGACAAGTTTGTAAAATTTACAGTATTTTCCACAAATCTAAAACCCATTGGTATCTTGGCAATTATGAGCTGAGGCACTGAGGAAACCTTAGCAGGCAATAATAATGATAATAGTAATTCTAATGAAACTTTAAGTCTGTCCCCTCAGCCCCAAAACCTTCTGTTCCACTATTTTTTTCTGAAAGTTRTATTTTAATATACCCACAACAGAGCATGGAATAAATCCAGATTGCTCAAACATGCTCATGTAAGTGCTGGAAAAGGAGAGTACGTCAGTGCAGGCAGAGCTCTGTTCGGAGGATGCTCTCTCTGTGAAAGCAAAACACTCCATTATTCATATAACAGCCTAGGCTTGCTGTTCAAAGAGGATATAGCTCAGGTATACCAATGAGACAGAAGGCACAACATGAGAAACACTCACTCTTCCAAAATAGAGAGTATATACTATCGCCTAAACTTTCGACACAAATACCACAGAGATGTGTGTAGTCTGCTTCTTTAAATGACCTTTTCATATACAATGAAGTATAAGGTTTTCCAACGAGCAGTATATTGTATCTTCAAAGTCCTTTTCACTTGATTTCTTCTTGGACCATTGGACCATAACTATCATCGTTACCTTATTTTACAGATCCAAACACTCAATCACAGGACTATATTTTTCTGTTTATATGAAAGAATACTAAAGCACTCTCCTTCTATATAGCAAGTAGAATGTAAGCTGGAATTTTYCATGCCAGCCACAAACATCAATATTGGGTGGGYAGTGTGCTGAGAAGACTCATCTTTCAGTTATAAGAACAATATTTTAAAAAAGAAATCTTTTCTTTTTTATTCATATTCCATGTTTTTTAACACTCAGTAACTACTCTCTCCAAATAATATTCTTCTGGAGTAGCAAAAATAATCTCTCTAGTCTACAGATGCAAATGGAAATTCTACCTACTATGGTCCTGTCTGGATACTTCCTGTTTTGATACTTCTGCCTTTGTACATAATGCCAGATAGTGTCTCCTTCTTCTACAGTGGGACTATTTTAACCACCTTGTATTATTGCCACCAGAATGAAATGAAATGAAAYTGGGGACTAATAAAGCTAACATTGCCCATATATATTTTTAGCTCAATAAAGTTAAATTAAATCCTGGATTAACATTATGCTTGCACAGATCAACAGGGTTGAATACCAAGGCCATGTAGGATTTGTAGCGCAGTAATAGTATGCTTGGATCAGATATTCTTACCAGGTTCTTTATTTCTTACACAATCAACATGTTTGTGCCCCAGGCTGAACTAGGYTTTCACTTCTGTGCAACTCCTTTATTAAGTCAGACAGTGACTGAGCCTAGGTGAAGTTATCCCAGTTTCCACGGATTGCTACAGCTCCTGCAGATCAAACTAGAGCACAAGACTACACGAGACAAACACCGCATATGAATGAAGGGGAAGTTCACCTCATCTACAAGTTGAACTCYCAGAGCTCATCTAATCTGCTCAGATTAGAAAATCTGATGCACATCCCATAAACAGCGAATATTTGTGTCAAGGTCCTAGGTATTCCTTAACTTTAGCAGCTGTAACTTCACCGAATGCAATCTAATATTACAGAGTAAGGAACCTGGCCTGTGTTTGGCAGTTCTGCAACARCAAACGACACTGATCTCGGCAGCGTTTCCTACTAAGTCCTCAGCGAGCAGCAGCATGTCCTCCGAAAAAAGTCCTAGCCAAGTGCCCTGTGGCCAAATAAATGGGGGAAGGGTACTCAGAAAAAAAAGTCATGTATCTGCCACAACAGGAGCTGAAAGCCTCTGAGCCATTTCTGAGTGACCATAATAGGGTTCTGTAATTCACACACAAGAAAACAATTGCAGAGACACAGAGGACCATATTTAGGCAAGAATTAGAGTGTTTTAGCTGGGCATCTAGATTGCAGGGCAGGTGCAGTCGTAAGCCATCCAGATCACAGCTCCTTTCCATAAAAAACACAGGAACAGCGTGACTGCCCCAGGGCCTCGCCCTGACTTGGTGCTATAACATGGCCAAGTTCCAGCAGCAGAAACCAGGAAGCCCCAAAGATTTTCCGTTTTAGGCTCTGGGAAGCCTCAGAAAATTTCAGTTTAGACACAGCCTTAGGTACCTAACATGGCATCTGCACTGAGATAAGCAACAAGCAATTTACACTTTACTGAAGCATTAATGCAGAACCGTAGAGGTTCTGCATTTTCAGACACCTACATTAGTTGATTTAACTTTGCTGCTACAACTTCTCTCCACTGACTGCAGAGAAAGGGTCTGGCTGCAGCAGATCTGGCTGTTGAGTCTTGAAACATCTTGAATTTAAGACATCATAAAGAACATGTACTTACTTTCAGCTTTTTAGAAGAGTGTCTACAGCCAGAAGAAGCCTAYACTACAGCAAAAGCTTGTATCTTCCCCTCCCTTTACTCACACGCCAAGAGAAGTTTGTCGTTGGCACTGGACCTCTCCCATTATAAGTTTCACTCTCCTTATTTCTCACTTAATTTTTGCGCCTTTTTTTTTTGTGTTTACTTTTGCACTGTATACAAAACTAAGTACCTCAGGAAAATCATGGGGTAGGCATGTCACTGAAATAGGTATTAGCTCTGAAAAGATGCATGGAAATTTCAATCTGCAAGGAAATATAAGTTTTCACTAGCTAAGGTTTGAATGGAGTATTTTCATATAATCTTAATCAACTCTTTTTTAAACTGTGGTTTTCATTGCCCTGATGTTACTTTAGATATGGCCATTCAATGCATAATTCCTTGAGGCAACTTACCTGCAGGCAATGCCTACAAAAGAAACAAGCAGAGGAAGTGGTTTTAAATGTCACTTTCTCCTTATGCTTTTAGATTAGAGGTAAGCGCAGTTATAAGTACAATAAAGATCCCATACTGTTAATGTGTTAAAAGATTAACGAGCAGCCCAGAAAAGAGGGAGAACAASTGTTCTACCTGTCTGGAGGAGAAAAGTGAGAAGATTGATGAGGGCAAGAGTTAGATAGGCCTCCGTCTGCTGGAACGGTGAGAAGAGAGGACTGCCCTGTGCAAACTATAAGCTTACTGCACAGCACATTAGGAAAAATGGGGAAAAAAAAGTGTCATTATAAACAAATGTTTATTAATGTAAGTTCTGTGCATTTACCACATGAATTCTGGAATTTGCAAGTTCCGAAGTAGTAAAGATATGTCTAAATAGAAGTCCTTACACAGTGTGTACTTTTAGGGATACATCTACTGTATAATGTTTATGTAATGTTTATGTTCTCTACGGTATTTATTTGCATGCACTGATATCAGCAGATCTAAATAGTCCTCAGAGTTTGGGTACCTGCATTTGTACGCTTGCATTCACTGAATTATGGACAGAGCTAATCTGAAATTGTTGTGCATTATCCAATTTCAAATATAAAAAGAATTCATCCAACAGCTGCCAGTGACTATGCTTGATGCCAGGGCTTTTACTAAGACTTCATGTAGCACTGTATATAAGAAATTAATGCAAAGAGGAGAACTTAGAAATTTATTATTGCAAATAGTACCTTTGAAGAGGTGACCATTCTCCATCTGAATGAGGGTATGATGCAGACTGAGAAAATGTAGCAATTGCAGGAGTCTTTACCTCAGATACTTCATCGATACACACTTCTGGAACAGGGATCCTAAATATAAGGAAAAATGTGAGAGTTAAACTGTACTTCATTAGCCAAATGTCATATATTCCAGTTAATTAAAAAAACTAATGGAGGTAAGAATTAGTCTAAGTTGAACTAAACAAAGAGAGAGATGTGCCATCTTATCCCCATCTTCTGGTTCACAGAGTGATTGAAGATTGTTGCTATGTTTCAGTGTCATTTTCCTTATTTCTGACATGTACATTCCTGCCAGCCTGCTAGTCTAAAGCTTTTGCTTAATGAAACATGTTCCTCAATGATGATACTGACATGACAGAATTCACTCTCAGAAGATGTGGAATGGAACATGAACCCAGTATTAGGTCTCCACTACACATCTCAGTACCACTGCAATACCTTGAATTGTCCAACGGTTCTTTTTCTTCTTCTGAACTAATCTCCATAGGAAACATATCCTCATCTTCTGATGTATCTCCATTGTCTTCCCGTTTTAAACTGTCCATTTTATGAGCAGACTTCCTCCTCTTTTTCCTCCTTTTTTTCACAGAACTACAGGCCACAGAGGTTTCAATAGTGGGCTGGGATCCATGGACTTGGGGTGGTACTTGTGAGGATACACTGGAGTCCAGGTTTCTTATCCTGTCTACAGAATTCCTCTTCAGCTGAGTTTCCATTAGAGAAGTTCCCTCAGAAAGAATGGGGGATGTAGAGAGATGATAAGGAATTACCTCCTGAAAAAGAAATCCAAACCACATGACATTCTTAGTTCCTTGGGAAGTCATAAATATGGTTCTTAATTTAGTCACTAATAAGTAATATAGTCTAGAGAACATCAATATGATCCTACAGGACAGGTAAATTCATCAGCTGCACAATGTCCTTACACAATCAGGTCATGGGAACATCCTATTAAGCAGTAATATAAACACATCTCTAGATAAACACATGGAAGCTACTGCTAGCATTTTTTCAGTCACCAAATAACTGCTACTTTACGAAGGTTTTAAATACAAAGGCATGGAGATGAAAAACACACACAAACACAATTATCACCTAAAATTAATATTACGGTACTCAATTACTATTTTTAAAGTCCAATAAATCCTGGACAGGAACAAAAATTATTGGGGATATCTGAAGAGAAATGCCTGTAAAAGGCTTTGTTGAAATGTTGGTATAACATGTTAATGGTGGACTATTCAAATCTAGTGCGACTACAGCTTATACTAACTGGTATTTAAGCACAGAGCTGAACTGCAAGGCATTCTCATTTCATTACAATTCCACATGAAGAGAAGTTGCAAAATCATGTCTTTAACAAGTGCTATCATTACTATATGCACAGACGTGTAGAGGACATGTGCACTTCTATATGCACGATCTGCTTGCTGTGCATATTCAACTAAATATTTCTGCAAAGAATAAGTCCATGGACATATTAACCTCTTTTGTACACATCTCTGGAGCATGCATTAAGTATTGTTCGCACATACAAGCATGCAAAAGAACTAAAAAATAGACTTGAGTTTATGATGACTACCTTGTTTACATTTTTTTCAAATCATATTGACTCAAAAAATGAAATATCTGCTTATTAACAAATGTACAAAACCTTTTGAAAATATAAGCTGGATATAGGTGTGTTTTTCTATAAAATCTCTAAATTGAAAATCAAATTGAAGAAGTAGGCACCAAGTATTTAATAAACTAGTACTAGTTTTGACTCTTACCTGATCGTTATCCATCTCCTGTACAAAAAAGGCCTCTCCATTGTCTCCTAGCTTCATGTGCAAATCTACAGCTTCTCCATTAATTTCTATGTCAACCTTGAAAAAAAGATATATATTCTTAAATGATAACAAAGTTATTTAGTTAGCTCCTGTTCAGCTCTCCTGTATGTATCACTAACCAAACAAACACTAAATATGGACCTCACTTCWTTATTTTCCCTACTTCCCTGCAAACCTGTGCCTTGTCACATGTTTTCTAAATGGTTCAGCTCATTCCTGGCTTGCTCCTTCAGTCAGCAACACACAGTCATTACATAAAGTTCAGTATCTTTTTAAATGTAATTCTAGATGCTTCATTAACCTCATATATATTTGCTATCTTTTAATTCATAACCTAATTGTGCACTGTGTGAGAAGTAATTCTTCATGCAAATTCTTAATGTTGCCTTTCAAAATCATTAATCACATTCACACAATGGTTGAGGTTGGAAGGGACCTCTGGAGATCATGTAGTCCAACCCCCCTGCTCCAGCAGGGATACCTAGAMCACAGGMCGCAGGGTKTCATCCACACAGGTTTGGAAGATGTCCAGGAAAGGAGACTTCACAACCTCTCTGTTCCAGGGCTCTGTCACCCTCATAGGACAGAAATTCTTCCTCACATGGAGATGGAACTGCCTGTGTTTTAATTTTTTACCCATTACTGCTTGTTGTGTCACTAACAGATTAAAATCTCTACACAGTTGCTATCTCTTTTTAATGTTTACCTGAACTCTATACAGTCTCAGCTATTTCCATTTCTTCTCAAGAAGAGCTCTCTCTTTGTCTCTGACCATTTTTGTCACCATTTTCTTTTTTCATTGTCATTTTCTGAGACTAGGATAACAGTGTGATATGAGAAATTGCCAATGACTAATACAGGATATATTATTTTAAGACCTAACTACATATAGTCTACATTCTCACGTAGCTGTAACTGTTCAGCTGAAGCACCTGTATGCCATATACCCTGTTATATATATATATTTGTGTATATATATACACACATACACACACCCCCCCCACCCCTATATACCTTGTTCCATTCTTATCTGAATCRTAAAGGAATACCAGTGTTTAGGAAGGGTTAAACTGGAAAAGTTTACCATAGCTACAATATTCCTTATGGATATATACCCTATAATATACCTATAGAAATACTGCATGTATGTAGTCACTGGCAATTTCTCATATCACACTGTCAAGTCATCAAATTTGGTCATGTTTCCCTAAAGTTCCTCCCTGCTTTTTCTCGCTTCAGTCACATTCTGTAACTGAAAATATTCCTTCATAATTAATTCTCTTTTGTAACTATCAATAAACATGCTAAACAGGGGKATCTTAGTACCTAGTCATTAACAAAATCTAGTATAAGACCAAATTAGCTCATTCAAAATTTTACTTTATTGAAAATAAATGTTACAAAATTAATGGCTTATTTTGTTGCTATTACAGTAAGTGTTTTACAAATCATGCTTTGAAATGCAATTATCAGTAATAACAAATTTAACTGAACCTTGACTCTCTTTAGGCATTTTGCAAAGAGCATTTAAAGAAAATCTTGGCTAACATGCTGCAAAATATGCAGCAATTTTCATGTTATGAAATGTTGACCCCCAGAGTAAATACTAACAAAGTTCAATTTTCTTACCACTTTCTCCCTGGAACGCAGAACTCCCATTTTCCCAAATCGTACGTGGAAAGGAGAACATTGAAGATTTCCATCTGGCTGACGTACAACGATGATATCTATACAACCGGACAATGTGGCAGGGTTTAGCCCCTTATAGAGTTCCTTCACTGTTACAAATACTTGCCCTGCTAACTGTCCAACGTAATTCATGGTTTGAACCTAAAAAGAAACAGAAAACAAATTTTTGATCACTACTTAATATTGTAGAGACATCTGAGTGACCAAGACATTTTAGATTCGAGGAGTCAGTTATTCTCTTATTTCACAAATCAGTAATATAACTTAGCATTGTATATCCCATCTAATTTATTTATAGCTGACATGGTGGAACAGCACTATTAGAAAACAGTAACRAGATACCTTGTTATTTGGAGAATTATGATAGGATTCAAAAAGTCATAAAATTAGCTGTATTCAAAACCACTCAGAAGACTTTCAGACTCTGCAGTTCATAAATATGCTTCCAATTATCTGCAAAAAGCATTACTTCCAATATAACATCTTCTCATCTATCCTGTATTTGTTCTCAACACTGAAAATGCTTCTCTCGCAGGTTCCTAAGGGCTTTTCAGGGCAAGGCAAGATGGTAGATCTAAATTTTCACTACATTAAAATCAAAAAATATTCTCCCACTTCACAGAGATTTTTGCTGTTAAAAGGTTGTCCTAACACATTTSTACAATGGATATGCATTAAGGTTTGACGGGAAACCTTCAATCCACAGCTTTCTAACTTTGTAGTACTTCCTACTGCAACTCTACTATTCTTTTAAAATAGGTTTTCAATGTCAGAAGGTTTATTTAAAATTGGGCAGGGGTTGATGGTTGAAGTGATTGGCTGTTTGGCTTGGTTTCTCCTGCTTCTCGATTTACCTGGAACAGTTTCTGTTAATATACTTAGTTACCTACATAGGACTTAAGCGCTCTCGAAGTATAAATGTGCTTAAGAGGGTACTTCACTGAACACTAGAGATTCGGGGGACTTTCAATGTCTGTTTTTTAATTACTGTTCTACATCTCTTGCAGAAGCTAAGATACTCATTTCAGACAAGTTGTGTTCACTCAGTGTAAAGCAAATACCCTCCATGCACAGRGCTCTCTGTCRAGCTGTACTGCACACCTGGGCAATGGGAGAGCAGCAGAAAAAGGGCTACTGACAGGCTGGTCAATGATAAAACTCCCGTGGCTGTTGAGGAGAATAGGACCGAGATCAGACACTGAGAGCCAGTCACACGACCCACGCTGCACGGCTTGTACTAACCAGTATGGCCTGCTACAACAGAGACTCTCTTTCAGAACATTCTTCCATAAACAACAAAAGCCCACAAGTGTGAAGTGCTATAAAAATAGCTCAAATTTTTAACTGCAATGTATATTTACAAACAAATAACTATTAACAAACTACAGTGAAAGCACTGCAGCCAAATATCAGAAAGTTAGGAAATGCTACAATTAAGATATCACAGAATTTGTCTTTTCATGTATAATTTTTCTGATTAATGATCACCTCCTGACATTAACCAGTGCATTGTTTCCTTCTCTGTTTCTATTGTGGTACACGAACATCAAGACACAACCCCTMCTGGCTTTTTAAAAATATTTAACATTATCCAATGTCACCTGGCTCAGAARTCTACTCAAAGCAGGGCCTCCTTAGACCAGGTTGCCACAGACCTTTTGGGTTGAGTTGTGAGTATCTTCAACGATGGAGATTTCTTAGACTTCCTGGCCATCTGTTTTAATGTTTGACCATCCTCACAGTTATTCTKTTTTTTCCTAACATCTAAGCAAAATGTCCCCTCTTGCAACCTGTACCTGTTGCCTCTTGTCCTACTGCTGCACCTCTAAAGAAGAAAGAGTCTGACTCCATTTCCCTGACACTCCCCTCAAGTCAGTAGCTGAAGCCTCCTRAGACTGAACAGAACCAGTTCTCCTTCCAATTTCTCCTTGTAAGTCATAAATTCTAAGCCCCTAATTATCCTGGTGGCCCTCATTTGAGCTCCTTAAAAAGTAGGCAGTGTAATGAATGGACTAAAGTTCAGATGTACGCCTCCAAGTTAACAGGAAGTTGTTTGTTTTTTTTTTTTTCCCTTGAAAAATAGTTCTATTTGTGTTTTTTTTTTTAAGTATAATAAAATATATTTCTGAGTTATGATTAAATTTAAAAATTGCTATACTTAGTCTCAAAATTACATACTGTAGCTCATGCCAGTTCGTGCTTGGTAGACACTTTGTAGGTGCAACAGAGCCACAACTTGCTTTTTCCTGTAGGGGAAGGACTTGCTGGGACATTACACTTGCCCCACAGTTTATGGTGGTTAAGAATAAATGATCAGGCTTATGAAGACTCATGCATCCTCTCAACAAGTACACCGAGGAAGGCCCCTAAATCCCTAAACAGAGGATTTCACAGCTATTCCTGCTCGCAGGTGTTAGCCATACTGTCTGCCTTCTCATAGGACTTTATGATTACTTTTCTACTAGTAAATTAAGAGGTCTAGACACCGTYCTCAAGCTCTAAGGCAAACTGGCACAACACAGCTGGCAACTATACAGTGAAAACCTCTTATGTCCTRAAAGAAAGGATCATTTTCAAACTGCCAATTGGTAATGGACACTTCTTTCAAACTGGGCTGAACCTGGTCTGCGGAATAAAGTCACTAGTGAATTAAAAAGCAGATTGACAGACTGATAACAYAAACCCAATTTTCCCAGGAAACTAGACTTTTATTTTTAAAAACAAAAATTTTAAAACTAGTCTTTTATTTTAAAAGTGTAAGGAATAAAAGATGCTGTAGCTACAATGCAAGATTGTTCAGAAATGGAACTGTGATGCATTTCTCCTACCTTTGAGGGCATCCAGCCAAAGCTGAGCTTGTTTGGAGTCTGAGGTTTGTCAGTTTACCCTCTGACCTGGCAGTCAGTTACACACCAGGCCAGTACTCCAGGAAACCAACGTTCCTTAAACCCCAGGGAGGCTGCATGTGGGTTTGGAACAACATTTTGGCTGCTCCAAGAAGTCTTTCACTTACTGGCCACGTGGCAGCCACCTCAACAGTAAACATGAGTTTACATCATGAGTTAAACCCCTAATGCCTGTTATTTAGCAAATTTAGCAAAAGTTGTTGTCTCATACCATGCAGGCAAGCTTCCCTATCAGACATAAGACGTAGTAGTTTTTGGTGCTGAGGGAGTACAGAATCCTTTCGATCTAAGTTTGCAGCAAGAACAACCTGTACTTCAGCAGTCTTCAGTAAGAATTTTAAGATTTGTTCTTTTGCCAGAATTCACAGCAAAACTCTGCATTATGTATCTATTAAGAAATTACTGGTATTTTCTGGCATCATTTTTATGTCAGATTAACCAGTATCCCATGCCAAAAGGCTCTGAAAATTTGCGACTCCTATGACTGTTAAAGAGAGATATCATCTTTCAGAAATTATCATCGGTTTGAAAAATAAGTAAAACATAAATAAATATTTYATACCCAAGCTCTGCACTCTTTCATCCTTATTTACAGTTTTTGGTGTGAGAAAATGCTGAAAGTTGTTAGAATTGAAGATTTCTCTTGCTTCAGCAAGACSCAGTGTCTCTTAGGGTTCTACAACATAGTGATAATGGGTTAGATAGCCCAAAACATCKGAATTAATTAGGGATAAAAGTCCCATCCACCACACTCCAAAGACAGATAGTTTTTGAAAAGTCATGACTTGCATTCCATGTTGAGATTTTGGGATATAGGTTTGGCTAAGGTAACTATAAACTGGCAAAAACCTCGTCTGGAAGGTACAAAATCTCACATGCAGAAAGACATGAGATAGGAACAGTTTAAGAATGGTTGATCCTATATCCAAAGTACTAAATCCATATCACATSTAAGATACAGCTGTTAAAATCCAATCATCTTTACTGAATTTATGTAAACTGACAATTCTGTTTCTGGTACATTTCTGGCTCAGGCCAGCCAGCACTCTCACATACAAAGCCCAGGAAAAGCTCCTAAGTGAAGATCACATATGGATAATTCCCATGGCCACTTTGGATGTTGTCACCTTCTTCAAAGCTTTACAGAACAGATGTGAACAGATTGTGCTCATTGGTCTCAGCCCCAAAGAATGTATTTGGACACYGTTTAACATCGATGTGATGTTTTTGTCCCTTCCATCTCTTTTCCTAGGGCTCCACAGATATAACTGCGTTTTGCAAGACAATAAGGCGAAGACTTGCAGCAACATTAAGCGTGACACAACCCAAATATGCTTAGCAGAATGAAAAACTATACATACAGACATGTATTTTGATTATGTCTTTAACACCTGATATCATGATAAGAGCCTGGTCTATGGCTGAAGTGATAGGCATAAACATAAAACAAATAGGCTTGCATAAGAATTTCCACATACAACTTGTGAAATTGTGGTATAAAGCCAAAATCTGACAAGCTGGTATTCAGTTAATATAAATCACTGCAGTGCTGTTGCTGACATTGGAACTGCAACAACTTTGAAAACCTGATCCATCTGGTATCCAGAGCTGCCCTCCCCTTCTGTTTTGAAGATACAAAAGGGAGTCCATACTGTACCTGGAGATCAGATTTTGGCCTTCAAGTGAATTATTCCTAATTCACAATAAAGTAATAGATGGTAATTCAAAAACTCTTAGATGAATACTCATTGCTACTGTCTTTTGTTATGCATCAAACATTTATTTTCTTGACTGCAGGGTAATTCAATATTGTTTGCATTATTAAACACCAACTCCTTCTACAGTAATTAATGGCATTTTTCCATTGACTCGTTCTTGGCCTTGAAAAACAGTATCAGAGCTTGCTTTCCAAAAAGATTTATGACAAAAACATAGGGAAGAGAAGGAAGTATTTTAGATGAAGATTCCCTAGATGGATATTTTCAAATTAAAATTAATGTTATATGTCTGTACAGCAACTACAGTAATGATTAACTACAAAAGCTCAAGAAAAAAAAAAAATGTTCCTTATTTTTAGCTGAGGTACTTAATATAAAATGGTTAACATTTTATGTAGTCCCATAATGCTAGGTGAACACCACATTCAAATCAATTGGCTTTTTAACTCATTTCAAGCTGAAAACTAAAAATCATCACTAAGTTCTGAAATCCTTTTCTTTACCTGCTTGCTATTTCCTAGAGCAGTCCATCCCAAGGCCACTGCCTTGAACCATCATCACACTTTTCCGAGAAAGCTCCCAATCAGAACCCCCAAAGTCACTGCTCCTGCATCTCAGAGCAAAATCAAACACTCAACCTTTCTCCTGAGGAGCAATGAAGGCAGTATGTTGAGACTGCAGGGTTTCTGCTCCTACTTTGCTACGAGGTTCCCACATGATCTTGGGTAAGTTACTGACACTTAAACATAAAGCATGGTTAATTGCTCAAATCCCGCTGGTTTCAAGAGGGCTCTGTCAGTCTGGCTCTATATGAACCTCAGTGTTCCAAGCACATCAGACAGAGATGAACAAGCATCCTGCCCGCACTTTATTTTCCTGTGAAAAGAAATCTGGATACACAAGCAGCCATGCCCCTGAATTTGACCAGTTGTGAGGAGAGAACTCCAGAGCACTGAGCTGAGCTGTGTGATTCTGGCACTCCTGTAAATAGGACCATGGACTCTAGTCCAAGCATAATTTTACTGGACCTTCCCATCATTGCAGCAGTATGAGATAGACCACATTCCTGCAGGTGATTTGACAAATGCTTCTGGGAAACAGGTGCAACCCACTCGTGCATCCCAAATCGGAAGGCAACAAGCAGCACATGGCTGGCTTGACGCCAGAGAAAAAGCATTTTGCTTCCTGCCAGTCACATCTCCATAAATATTTTAGAGTTGGGACTACTTAATCATATTAGGAGTCAAATAACTCCTAACCAGATTTAGGAGTTCCTAATAGGAGTTATTAGTGAAAGCCAGTGGCAAAAACTGGAGCTTCTGCAGAGAGTCAAATGGATCAGATGTCCAACCTGATTTCTTCCTAGTTGCCAGTACCTCCAATACCTGCCAAGACCACCCATCCACTCACACATGCACTTACTGACTACGCAGATACAAACTATGACTAACAAGTAATTATTCACTCAAGTAATGGTAAAAAAGGCAGTGATGAGAGCGCCTGTTAAATATACAAAACACTCTTTGGTTCAACTCCCCACAAAGTTTCCATTAATATTTTCTTGAGAGCAGCTGAAATTGCAAAGACTCAAAAACTTTCTGGTAATGAATTCTCAGATTCAGAAGAGTCAGACATACTCCTTCATGGTCAGTTTAAGTCTATCTAACCTCTCGGTCTCCCAACAACCACTGTACTCAACTGTACAACACTTCCCTTCTCACAGAGGTACTTTCAAGAAAACCAAACAAGGGCAGACATCCATTTGGACTCCTATCACACAAACTTTACAATGAGTCAAGAAGCACAAACTGATGCTTCAAACCTGGGAACTTCTGAAAGAACAGGAGAATATATTGCAGGTGATGTACTGTGCTGCCCTGTACTATTGTCCTAATGTCACAGAGGGAACATAAATCAGAGTGGAAGCACAGCCCCAGTCCAGCTCTGTGCTGGCATTTCTGTGTGACTTGGCATGCTTTCTTTCAGTGGGCTAGAAAATAAATTTCTTCTTTAGATTTTAACTCTATGTTTTCTGCATTTTCAGAGTTTAAAGTAAGGTTTTATTGTATTAAGAGTAGTTTTCATCATTGCTGAGCATACATAGAGATATATTAGATACACTACATATRCCTGCTTCCCCGTAGTTATGGAAAAAGACCAAAGACTAGGTCTTGCCTAACTCCCTTACCTGAGTCAGAAAGCAGATGTTATCAGGTAATCTTTACTCTGCCTTAGTGAAACACAGCTACTGGAGAAGTAGAAAGTATCTAAAAATCTCRATTTTCATAGCTTTATGCCTAAAATCATAATTGCACTGAATCTTTTCCGTTTTATCTTCTTCACCTTCTCTCCACTTTTTTCTTAGGTTAATTTCCGGGAATTAGGCACATTTCACTGTAATAGATGCATATCCATCTGACTTCTGACCCAGTACACAAGGAATAGCAAACCTTTAACTATACATATGAAGCATTTGCCAATTTAAGCTTCCTGAGCCAGCCGTGACACAGATAAAACCACACAGAACAACAACAGACAAACCAACCACTCCAAAAGTCCTTCCAGACCATGAACCGAATCAGAGGTTAACGGGTCTACTGAGGTCATGACGATACAGGGGAAAGGAAGCACGATTTGCTGGTTAGTCGGAACATCAGCACTGAGATCCTGCTATTCACAGGAGCCTCTACCCGACTGTAAAATACAYTTCTCTTTTTGACAGCAATAACAAAAACATCGCTCGGCTTATTTCTGTATACAAAGAGCGTTCACATGTTTTGGCTTTATCTCCTCCTTCCTACTGCCTACAAATATATCCCCTCTACCGATAATCTGAAAAATAATCTAAAAACCTCTGAGATGACACTTATCACATATGCACATATTTACATCTGAAAGCTCAGTGTTACACAGCRCAAGGCCACCCCTGCCAGCCTGTCACTGGGCGCTTCAGACGTGTTGCCCTCCCGTTACCCCGCCGCTTCTCCCACCGTTCCCGGTCACGAACCTGTGCCGGGCCCGCAGGCTGAGCCCGCGCTGCCTCGGCCGCCGCCGCCGCCGCCTTTGTGCGCGCCGCGGGGACGGGGACGGGAGGCGGCGGTGCCGCCCGGGAGGCGGGACCGCCGCGGGGTGACGGCGAGGCGGGCAGGGCTCGTCGCCACACGGGGCGGGACGGGCACGGGGCGTGCGCGGGTGTTTCACATCGCACGCAGCCCGCGGCGGGGACGCGCGCCGCGGCCCCACGCACGCACGCGCGCTGTGCGGCCGTTGGTGACCGTTGGCGGCCGTTGGTGACCGTTGGCGGCCGTTGACGCCCCGGCCCCGCGGCCGTGACTCAGCGCGGGGGGCGGCGCGCTGGGGTGACGCCGCGGGCCAATGGCGAGGCGGGCGGCGGTCGCGCCAGCGGCCGCGGGGCTCCCCCCGCCCCGCCCCGCCCCGCGCGGAGCCCTGTGAGGCCGCGGCCATCGCCCCACCGCCCTTCCCTCCTGCCTTAGCCCAACACCATCCGCTCCAGAAACGGCAGTCCCGGGAAATATCCCTCCTTTTATCTTTGCACAGACTCTTTTCAGTAGATCCCGGAAGGACCTGTCTCTGGTCTGTTTGGTAGACTGGGAAACCAGAGACCAGGAAAGAGACTCTGTGTCACTGAAGGACTTGGTGGCTGTGAAGAGTCTAGAATTAAAATGCCCCCAACAGCAATGCTGTACACAGGAGGAAATAATATTGTTTATCATTGTAATTAATCATATGAAATAATTTTTTTTCCCACATGTCAGTGATTCCACTAAAATCACATTGCAGTATCCTTTTACGCCTGTTACCTTACACACTTGAATAGGAAAGCGCATGGCCGAGATAAAATGAACTGAGGGAAGACTCAGCTACACGTTTGAAGTCTTTACAGAAAGCATAAGTGGCCTCTGCTACGTGCAAAACAAGCGAATGGGTAACAAAATCACACTGAAGGAAGAGGGCAGAATAGGCAGGAAGAGGGATAAAGGAGAATTAGTTAAAAGAAGTTATTTAAAGAGGAGGCTGCCACTTGAAGGCTTTAAGAGCAGGTTCTCAAGCTGGTTTGGGGACATGGGCTGGTCCCCAGCACAGAGACCAGGGCCCAGAGAGGAGCTCATTTCAGAGCAGTTGGAATTAATCCTTCTGTTTTGCATTAGCTATCCAGTTATATTTTGAAAGTTTCTCTATGCAGCCTCTAGCCCTTCGCCCCACTTCTTTTCTCTGGCCGTTTTCCCTTCTGCAGCTCTAGCTCCATGTCCACATTGGCTGCTCTTTGTACAGTTCACAACCAAAGCAAAATGGGTGGCAGGGCCTGGTTCAGTCTCAAACTCGAGTTCCTGTTTGTTTTTATTCTCCCATATTTCCAGTTACAAAGCCACCATAATAATTTCATTGTAGTTTTACAACAAAACAAAGCAAAAAACAAGCCAGTGAAGGCAGTTTCCATCAGGGTGTGGCTAATAAGGTTGTTCACCTAGTCCCCAAGAGAAAACAATGTGCAACCGAGCCTAGGAATTACTGRTAATACTTGCAGTTTTGTTTCCCAGGCATATCACAACTGATTTATTGTCAATGGGCAGTCATTCCAGACAATGAGAGGCAAATAATGCCATCTTTGACATAAAAAGAGATAAATACAGGTAGCTTTGTGTGTGCTGGCTGCAAATTTTGACCAGCCCTCCCTTTGCTGCATTAGTGTAGAATACGATTCTTTATCATGTGTTCTTAGTAAATGGGTGTCTGTGCAAATCCTCCCACTGTAACAGTCTAGAACTGCCCTCATATACTGCTCGACTACCATCTTTCAGTACCATACATAAATAAAAACATAATCAGAACAGAYTGAATTAGAATTACTGTCTTTTCACGGTATCAACAACATTCATCTCTCTGTATTTCTTTAGAAAATCCTGAAACTAGATTCTTAGCTTCAGAAAGTTCTATATTGTGTTCAGTTATTTAGCATGTCTAACCATCTGCTGCTCAACACARAATAACCCACAAAACAACGCTCTTCATTTTTTATGCTTCCTTGTGCTAGGTYATGTTTTGCTATTTTATGGAGGAAGTGTGGCCATGGTGCAGATAAGATGCTGTGGAGAACTCCGAATGCTTTCGCAAGAACTGTTTTCCTCATTCTTTTATATTGTCCTTTACAATACAATGTAAAGGACAGGGTGGCAACAGTGAGAGAGTCCTCACACTACTTCCCTGGAACAGTCTACCCATGGTTTCTGAATTCCATGTGTTACGCTCATTTTAGCTCCTAACTGCTCTCACCAGCTACATCTAGCTAGAGTACCGGGCTTTGGTGCTTAATCTGCTGTCCCGTGCGAGTCTTAGCAKGGTCCTGCCTGCAGCTTTGGCTGAGTCCTGTGCCTGGACACAGCTTGGAGAGTAGCAGAGCCAGGGACCATTCCTAGGAGAGTTTGGAGTTCCCTGCAAAACCAGGTGGCTAAGAGGTCTCACTCTGTAGTCATGATGTGCACCATGTTGTTGCAAAAGCACAGTCCATGGTAGCGTCATTCCTAAAAGATGCTCAATAATGATGAAATTCTGAACCAACGCTCTGTAATATTGTCTGATTTCCTTCTGGACACAGTGTGTTGGGCAATGCTGGCTTGTTTCCTAAGGCTGGGATCTAAAACTGCCTACAGACTTTCAAAAAGATCTGCTAATCCAAGTATTTTTTCTTTGCACCTTCCACTGGTCTSTGTGTATCCAACCATTATCTCTCACCTAATGCTTGATTCCTATCCTAAGAATTTGTAATTTATCTATTCAGTTTGTGTTCGCACAATTTCTGGTGCAGTGGAGTTCCTGTGTATAGTTTAAGTTCATAATTAGCATGCAAATACAATAACAAAGTTAAGCTGTATACTTTTATGACAGTAAACATAGAAGAGGTTAAAAATAGAACAGAAAAGTTTATCAAAACTCAAGCACAGTTTCCTACAGAGCCATACATGCATTCATAAAACAATTAAAACCCTTTGATTGCAACCYGGGACACTACATTTTCCTGGTAAGTATTCTGCCTGTGAGCAAAATGTCTATTCCAACCAAAAAGTTAATTATTTAATGCACTATCAATAAGGTCTGGCATTTTTCCCACTAAAATTGGAGTTCATTCTCAGAAAGAGTGCTTGGATTGTGAATGACTGCAATTGTAAAAGCATGCACACTATGCATGTGAAAATGATTCTTTAAAGAGAAAAGATTAGCTTTTAATTTACAGTTAATTCATAAACATATATGGTTTTAGAATCTGCTGCTGACATTCCCTATATTAGCCTATGAGTTGAACTATTTTTATTGCACTGTAAATGTTAGAAAACAACTTGTCTCTGTTTTTGCAGTTGCCTAATTATTTAGGCCCTGCCACCTAAAAAAATGATAGTTTTCCTAACTCAAGTTAGTAGAGTTTTTTATATGCTATCTTTGATGATCTACTGAATCCCTCTGTCTGGCCTAAGTTTCYCTTTCTGCTTCCTCTCAAGTAGAATGGTATAATGCTACCTTTGCTCCTTCACTTGACATATGTCACAGTAGTGCGTGTTTTGGTGTATAAACCCTGGCATTTTTTTCAGATTTTTAGTGTCTTTCTTATTTGAGAATTTCTTAAAAACAAGAAAACACAACAAAAAAAAGCTATTCAGTTGTACATATTTCTAAAATGTTTTGACCCCTTTTTTGATGCCAGTTTTGTCTGTCATGCTGATTTGTTTCTATTTGTGGAACTGACTGTTCTCACCGTCTTCAATGGCAGGTGCTTAAAGATTCAAGTCATACACAACTTTTTTGTAAAAAAAAAAATAAAATAAAAGGAAGAATGGCATCCTTACCCCACAAAAAGTTTCTTAGGACAGGAGTGACATCCTTACTCTTTATGAAACCATCTCAGTTTCGGTAGTGTCACACCTAAGCAGATGCCTGTGTCCTGCAGCAGCGGTCAGGTCTGCCCACCCTTYGCCACCTTCAGCTTTCTGGTTTTGCTTCGCACATGGTCCCAGTGCYCAGGTAGCGCTGGCAGCTCCTGCGGCCACGGGGGTGTTGGTCAATGCCCTGACGGCAGCAACTTCTCTTCTCCCACAGCCTCACTGATTAGAAGGGAGATGGTGACCTCATGCTCAACAGGATTATGACACCATCAGAAGTGCTATAAACTTCACGTAATCAACAGGAGGGGAAGTGGCCAAGGTAGGGAGAAGCCGAAGGGCTTCCTTTGCCAGATGATCAATTTAGGACTTGCAGTGGAATGAAGGGCAAGGTAGGAGGCACCGATCGTGTACCACGTCTGTGGTGATAAGGAGCTTATCAGCAATCGTCACCAGGGCTTGTATTGCATAACTTGGTTTCGTACCAAGTACTTTGCACTTGGTTTTGTGACAGCTTTGCCTTCCCCTCGAGACACACACCAAAAAAAAAAAAAAAAAAAAATCTCCAAAAGGGGAATCTGTAGTCAGTGAACTACTGGATAAGTTTGTTTGTTCTTTTTTTGCTTTTCAGAATATAACATGTCTTGGAGATGAAGGTCCATAAAAAGTTTCTTTTTCCTTTAGGTCTGCATCCAGCCTTGGAAAACCATAAGAACCTTAGTGCTGCCTTTGTATCCTAAGAGCCTTCTGCAGTCAAAACTCAACTTATTCAGCTAAATATATCACCCCTGCTGGAAGTCCACTTKTACTGGTGGAATCTCATCAGAAGGTAATTTAGCTCTAAATCTGTAAATAATCAAGCTTGAGCTAACTAAACAGAACCTTAGAAAGCTTGGAAGATAGTGAGCCCTGATAAGTGAAAGCGATCACAAGATATGGATAGAACAGTGAAGTCGTTGACGTGTTCTTTCCTCAACAAAAAACCAGAATTCCTGAGCAGACACGTTCAAAGACAGACCTGTGCTCTGCTCAGACAAGACACATGCTGAGGTTTAAAGCTGTGCACATTTAAGAAATCCAAGGCCATGTACACCTCTATGGAAAACATCCTGCTTTGGCCTGAAGTCATTTCCATCCCAAAGGCTCTTCATAAACC